AAGGGTGAGGGATAGAGAGTTAGAAACATCAATGAGAGAGAAACATCGGTCAGTTGCCTCCTGCACGCCCCCTACTGGGGATGTGCCCGCAACCAAGGTACACGCCCTTGATGGGGATTGAACCTGGGACCCTTGAGTCCGCAGGCTGATGCTCTATCCACTGAGCCAAACCAGTTAGGGCACATGTGCAGGCTTTAATTGGATGTAAGCCGCTTTGTAAAACTCACACTGCAAAGATGCATAGAGCCAGCCAGCATGGCTCAGAGGTTGAGCGTTGACCTATGAACCAAGAGGTCAGGGTTCTATTCCAGGTCAGGGCACATGCCCAGGTTGCAGGCTTCATCCCCAGTAGGGGGCATGCTGGAGGCAGCCGATCAATGATTCTCATCGTTGATGTTTCTATCTCCCTTCCTCTCTAAAATCAACAAAAATCTATATATATAAAAGCCTAAGCTATGACCCCCACTGACCACCAGGGGGCAGACACTCAATGCAGGCACAGAAACATGGAACAGACTGATGAATCTCGGAGGGAAGAGGGGAGCGGGAGGGCGGAAAGAGATTAACCAAAGATCTTATATGCATACTAGAGGCCCAGTGCATGGATTTGTGCACTGGTGGGGTCCCTCGGCCTGGCCTGTGGGGATCGGGCTGAAACCAGCTCTCTGACATCCCCCGAGGGGTCCCGGATTGCAAGAGGGCGCAGGCCAGGCCGAGGGACCGAGTTGCATGCCCACTGGTGGGTTCAGCAGGCTCCACGGCGAGAAGCGATGGGACCGAGGCCCTAAGGGGCCTGCAGCGACCAGGCTTATATGTAAAGTGTAAGGCTGTGGCGCTTGTGGAAGATGGATGGGATTTGGCGAGGCAGAGGTCTTGGGCTTGACACCAAAAGCACAATCCACAAAAGGAGAAACTGAGACTAGACCTGGTGAAACGGAAAGCCTTCTGCTCCGTGAAGACCTGGAGAGGGCGGAGACAAGCTGCCGAAAAGGAGGCCGTGCAGGGCGCGTGTGGGACGCAGGGCTGGCACTGGAACCGATTCGGAACTCGGAACTCAACAGGAGAGCACAAATCCTGTTAGAACACGAGCGGAGAGGTTTGTGCGGTTGGGTGAGAACGCCTTCCTGTCCACAGAGGAGGCCGTTGTGGACGAAAAGGGGCCTGGTGCTAACCTGACAAGCTCAGGGTGGGGGGGGGCCTGGGGTGACCCTGCAAAGTCAGAGACCCAAAGTAACCCCCCCAGAGGATGGTGTGAAGTTAACACTGTTGAGCGGTTTATGGCAGGTAGTCTTGTTCGAGGCTAGAAGTCAATCTTGACCGTAACTGAGCCTGTCTATTGCCTTTTGCATCTAAGGTAACATTCCTTTGGAATGTCGGGGTGACCCCTGTGCCAGACCCCTCAGGGCACAGCCAGTGCTCCAGGGCTGAGACCATAAATCCTCTCCTTGTTATTATCATGCTAATTGTTGACGGTTAACTCCTGCACCCACCTACCCACCGAGGTGAAAGGTGTCTATCATTTTACTTTCCATCCACTCCCAGTTCCCCCCTTGGCTTTCTCCCACCTCCCTAACCTATCCTGAGACCCCTCAGTTGGAAGGTGGACACTCCAACCACCCACCCCAACCACCGGCCGAGCCAAACCATCCGGGGCTGCGCCTTCTCTTCTGATGTGATGTACAGGCAGTCCTCGGGTTACGTCGGACTTGGTGTACGTCCGTTTGTGGTTACGTCGCCATCTCCCATTTATATAAAAAAAAGTTCCGTCATTTTGACGTATGTACATATGTGCTTTATGTTTTTTATTATTTATTTACCACAAGTAAAAGTCAGGAATTGTTCTCTTTTAGGTTTTTTTAATGTTTTTCTTCACTACTGCTGTGTCTGTGTTCCATGTGAGTGACGTAGGTGCTTATGTAGGTGGGTTCCCTACGCGAAAATTGCGTTAGGTCGCGCCGTAGGAATGGATCTTCCACGTCACCCGAGGACCTACTGTTTAAAATAAGGCGCAAAGCCGCCATTCGCTGGAGCGCTG